CCAGAAATATACTTAAAATGACATTTAAGTATATTTGACTTATACTTAGAAAAAGTCTAAATATATTTTAGTTATACTTGTGGTCCTAGATGTACTCAAAGTTTACTACTGTTATACTTAAAGTATACTTAAAAGTATACTTTTATATACTAGAAAGTGGGCCAATTTAGTCCCAAGGGGTATTGAAATAGTACACTTACAAGTGTACTACTAGTACACTGATAGTTGTATACTTACTACATAAAGTATACTTAAAAATATACTTTAACTTTACTTAAGTATACTTACTAAAATAAACTTGAAGTATACTACTTTTTGGTAAGGGTAGTCTTTAGCTAGTCTAGTTTTCAGAAGCTCTGTCTGGTTTTCCAAGGTTTGGCCAAGCTGCTCAGCAAACTGGTCTTCAACCCTGAACTGGTGATAAGGTTAAAACCTCTCTAAAACCACCAAACTAGATCAGTCTGGCAATCAGCTAATGCCAGAAAGAGCAGCCGGTTTATGCTGGTCTAAGCTGAAATGCCAGATTCTTATGATTCATATTCGCCTTTCTAATCTTCTGGTCTGGCATTTATATTTTCTCTCTCTCGTTCGCTGTCATCTTTGCTCTCTTCTCGTTGAGGACTTGCAGACTTCACGACTGTTCTCTCAGTGAAGCAAATCAGCTCGCGCACGTGTTTACTCTAAAACCGAAGCACACGTATTACTTGGCGCTCTGCTGAAAATGGCTCCTCGTTGTGTTTTTAATCTGATGTCATGTTAGTGGAATTCACTAATAGGTCTCTGACTCGATCTTATTTGGCGACATTTTCTCACTGCAAACACACAAGCATGTAGTCTATAAACTGCACAGTTCACACTCACTAAAACTGTTTTTCACAGCAGTGGTCTCTCAAAATGTAATCATTATTAAAAACATTGTTATGCAAAAGAAGCCATTCCTTGACTGATCTGAAAAACAAACAAAAACTAAAATGCATGCATGCATTTATTTATTCATGCATGCATGGATTCATTCATATTTATATACGCAATCTAGGGCATCAGCTGGTGACAAAAAAATAAAAAATAAAAATAATAATAAAAATCTGTTGTTGCTTAGCCAGCATCTCATAGCATTCTAACAAAGGCTCATTGTGTTCTGGGTTGTCCCTCTTGTAAACTTTGGCATCACTGTCTTTTTCAGAAATTACATGTTTGTTGGTTTTCATATTACATATCAAAGCAGGCTGATACAAAACAAAAATGTATTATCAATTTATAATGGAAAAATCATGTGCCAAAGCCAAGCTACCCTTTGTAGTCATCTGTTCAAGCTTGCGAGTGTGTGTTTTGGGGAAGGAGAGGCATTCTTTCCCGTTTACTTGCACTTTAAGTATTTAACTGTGATGACTTTAAGTGTATATTGTTGTTTAAAACATACGCTGAGATGCAGTGGATGTGATGTAAATTTTTGCTCTGCTTCTGGTGTTCCAGAGTTCTTATTACTGGCCTAATTCTTAATCAAAATGTTGTTTCGCTACAACAAAACCGCTGGCATTCAGTACAGTACATGTTCTGTGCAAACGCAGGCGGCAGATGGGAAACTTTCCCTAAAACTCTGCCACTTTAGCAGTTTCATGAGTGTGTGGCAGAATTGTATTTTCCAAGCACTTCAATTGAATTTGGATTGTCTGAAGTCAAAAAATGAAACTGCACTTGCACTAAAAAAGCTGGTATACACTTCAGTCTTTATTTAAAGATCCAGTATGAACTCTAAGACAGATGATTCTGAGCACAAAAAAATTAAACCGACAACCACAACAATGATAACAACTCAAAGGGATTGATATGCACTTATCCTGGACCACAAAAGCAGATAGCAACCAGACACAAATTTACTGTCTACACTATAAACAATGTTATAATATTCATTTATGCAGAGTATAAGGAGATACGATAAGACAAGTCTGTTCTGCATTTGATCTGGATCTTGATAATGGAAAACACTGTAACATGTTTTCATAATAAAAGAACTGCTCACCACAGAAAGGAATTCATTTAGCTTTGGTTGAAAAGCGTGTGATGCATCACAACACACGCTCCATTCACACACATCCGACGACCCTCACAGAAAGCTTGTTTTGTATGCATTTAACTGAATTTATTAGATTATAGCATATGTGTAGGATGTTTGTCGTTTAGGGCTCTTCAAGCGTAGCGTCATAAGGAGCTCGTTTTCACTGCATATGTTTAACTTTCTCTTTCCGAGGTAGGTACGGATTGAATTAAGATTGTCAGTAACATCAAGTTATGCAATGTTAGCTTTGCAACAGTAGTATCAACTAAGTCTGTGTTCGATTTAACGATCAAGGCATAAATCTCAATTTCAGATACAAAGAAATATGAATTCCTGGAGTGTAACACAGCAAGTACAGCATTTCCCTCCACACAGTACATGAGAACAGTGGGTATGAATATGATATGATAAAATAAATTAATTTCTTACCTAGATAATGGCATGCATCAGTGGGTTAATTGTATCATATATTATCATATATGGCGACCTGTGGCAGCTGACCAGTGTCGGCAGTTAAAGAAACAATAGATACGTTCCAACATGGATGTCAGTACAAGTAAATCTCACAAAGGAAGGTTTACAAGCTTAACACTCGAGGAATATTCCTGGCTTCAATACAAGTTCAATACGACAGCACTTGTGACATAATGTTTCTGCAGCTTACATAACAGATCATGGCATTAGAATTCCCAGGGAATGCATGAACTGACAAAATGCATACATTGGATGCAATGCAATTATTATTATTATTTTTTTATAAAACTGTCTGGTAAATGCATAAATGCAAATGTAGCTCATGCAGTTAGTAACAGCAAGGTCATGGGTTCAATTCTCAGGGAATGCACTGACTGAAAAAATGCATATCTTGAATGCAGTGTAATTCACTTTGCATGAAAGCATTTGCCAAATGCATAAATGTAAATGTAGATCATGCAGTTAGCAACAGCAAGGTCATAGGTTTGATTCCCAGGGAATGCATGGACTAATAAAATGCATACCTTGAATGCAAAGCAAGTCTTTTTTGGATAAAAGGTAAATGCATAAATGTAAATGTAGATCATGGCACTATCAACAGCAAGGTAATGGTTTCAGTTCCCAGGGAATGTGTTGACTTTTAAAATGCATACCTTAAATGCAATGTAAGTCACTTTGGATGCAAGCATTTGCCAAATGCATAAATGTTAATGTCAAAAAATTATAAAATTCATATCCTGAATGCATTGTAAATCACTTTGCATAAAAGCGTCTGTCAAATGCAAATGTAAATGTAGATCAACAGCAATGTCATGGGTTCAATTACCAGCGAATGCATGAACTGATAAAGTGCATACCTTGAATCTTGAATGCAATGCAGTAAATGCATAATTATTGTTGATTGAAAAAAAAAATCAACTTTTTTTTTAAAAAGCATTACAGTTTTAAATCACTTACAATGGAAGCACTTTCAATAGTAAAGCCACAAGATGTACATAATATGCATGATTTTTGTGCAGAAAATCACCAATTTTTTTTCCTGCGAAAAGTTACATCCAATTTTACAATTTTCATTGCGATGACAATGCTAAAATCACAGCTCAAATGATGCACAATTTTTAACAGAAGAATTAATGTAAGTGCTTTTATAAATGCATAAGGTTTCAAATCATCCAGAAATTTGCCCCATTTACTTTCATTGCAAGTGGTTCAGTGTAATTACTTGTAAATTATTTGTGGTGGTAATCAACATTATGCCACTAATTCTGTCTGTTAATTCTTGTATTGAACCTGAAATATTCATTTAATCACAGAAAACCAAACTGATAGAGCTTCAGCTGCTTGTAGGGGAACATCTCAAGTATGGCCTGAATTTAAGTAGTTTGCTTTATTGCATTATCAGTGGACTGACATACAAGGCAACATTACAACCAAATTTAATGTAAATCACAGCAGGTTAAGTAAAAGACTATAATAAACCTCCAAGGTAAAAACACCTTGATAAACTGCCTCCAGCTTTTGGATTCAAGGCATTTATTCAAAGTGCTTTAATCCCAAAGCTATTTTTTCTTCCAGGTCCCTCATTCAAACTAAAACTACTTTTTACTTAATTGGTTAGCTGGAGGATGACTGACAGGCAGGCCGTTCTCTCATACGACTCTTTCTTCAGTATTGCACCTTCGCTAAAGTGGCACAGACAAAGAGAGAGTCTTGGAAAAAAGGAGGATTGTTTCCAGTTGCTGATTTTCCTGATCTGAATGACAGAATTACAGTTCAACAGTGCCATGCCTGATCTCACTTTGCATTCCAGCGATGTATCCCACTTAAAAATGGTGAAGGAATTAGACTTAATTGGGGGCAGCGAGTGTGTATTTTTATGAAAAACCAGGGTTAATGGGGTGGCTGGAAGGAAAATAGACGTTGGTCTGCGGTGTGCTGTGAAGAAAGGGATTCCTCAGTGTGTGTTTGGTTTTGCGTGAGGGTGACATTATGTGTGCTCGTTCCTCGCAGCTTCACAAGAACGGCATAAATACGGGAACCGAGACAAATGCAATAAACAATCACAACAGAACCAGGAATTCCATTCACATTGCAATGGAACAGCGCTTCCATGGAGATTCATCCGGATCTGACAGATCATGACCTATAGGAGCAGAAGAAACAGTCATTTGCTCTGTTGTGTTTCATAGATGTGGAAAATTAAAGGCTCTTTATTGGCATTGATGGTTCCATGAAGAACCTTTCCATTGACCAAAAGGTTCTTTATAGTGGAAAAAGGTTCTTTAGATATTAAAGCACTAAGAAAAACATGGTCCTTTTAAGAGCTGATCATTAAGAACCCAAAATGGTTCTTCTATGGCACTGCAGTGAAAACTCCTTTCGGAAAGTTTATTTTAAAGCGTGTATATGAATATATGCCACACATTATGGAGCTACTGATCCATTAACACACTCAAAAAGCAATGTGTACTTACTGGGAGATTTTGCAGTTTGTTGTCTTGACAAAGCGGCCTGTGTAGTGGATATTGCACCTGACTACATTGTTTGTGTAGTCCGACTCATGCACCAAGTACTTCGGGTTAACCTGGAGCTGGAATTTAAACAGAATTTAGACCTTCAGTGATGTGAAAAAGTAAGTGCACCCCATAAAATATTGTATATGTGACCACATTATTACATATTTTGGACATGCAGGGCCTAAAATTAACACTTGCCAAATGCAAGCAAAATTCAGAGTTGGTGAGTACACAAAGCAGTGCTACTCAACAGCTGGCTGGTTAATTAAAAAATATATATATTATTAATTTTAACAAGGCCTGAGAACATGGTTAATTGTCGATTATCAAACCGCAAAGACTATGTTGTAATTATATAAACTCTATTTGGAATACAACATGTGCCAAACATCTTTACGTGTTGTAATGAAAATGGTTTAGAAATCTGTTGTCAACAAAAGAGAAGCATTTCAAAAGAAAAGTTTCCCGGTGGCTTTCCACCAAAATAAGTGCTCTATGGTTTAACATTTAAAAGCAAAGAAAAAATAACCATAAATATTAGTGTTTTAATTGTACTGTTGTTACTAATTGTTGTTATATAATAATAATAATAATAATAATAATAATAATAATTATTATTATTATTATTATTATTATTATTATTATTATTATTATTATTATTATTATTATTATTATTATTATTATTATTATTATTATTATTATTATTATTATTATTATTATTATTATTATTATTATTATTATTATTATTATTATTATTATTATTATTATTATTATTATTATTATTATTATTATTATTATTATTATTATTATAATAATAATTATTATTATTATTATTATTATTATTATTATTATACAATAGTAATTTAGTGATATTTCTTTATTGGTTTCTTTTTAAATAAATAAAAATTAAAATAATAAAGAAATGAATAAATAAATAAATAAATAAATAAACACAGACATACAGACATAAATCACCGGCTATTGGCAGAAGTAGAAAAATGTTAGTTTTAGGCTCTGGTGGACAGTATTGATGGGTGAAAGTGGGATACATTTAACATAAAACAATGAAAAGTTGACTTTGAAATATTTTCCTCAACAAAAAATATATGCAGAAACACACCTTTAATCTGTGGAAAAAGTAAATAGCCCCTATATTTAGTAGCTAATTTTCTGTCTGAGCGGCTGGGATCTGCCTGAAGAGGCATGTCTGTATCTGTCTTATTTATGAGCACAGAAAACAAACAGAAGAGTTGGACGACATGCGTGACATCAAACGCCTCCTTGTGCCAAACCTTTAGCGAGACGTGTTGTATTCTGTTGATGTGTTAGATACGAGATATTCTCTGAGAAGACTCTCTTTGAAGGTTATGAAAAATGCGTTCGGTGTGAAATAGAAGACGGGATGTAAATGTTTTGGTCATCTACCTTGAGTATATAGTTTCCTGGCTGAACATCAGTGATGTCAATCCATTGGCAATCAATATCTGCATTGTATGTGTCATAGCAACCTGGACTGAGACCCTGGGATATTAAAACAAATCAAAACATTAGTGTAATCAAAAAACAATGGCATGCTAATAATTTTATTATCAATAATAAATAAGAGAATGTGTCTCAGACGTGTACCTGGGTGTGTGAAGTACAGGCGTATCGTTTGAGATGGCCGAAGTCGCAGGTCGTGTCCTCCAGACAGAAGCTGGCCTTGTGTCCCTCCGCCACCTTCCGGCCGCTGCTGACCTCTATCAGATCGTAGTGACTGAACTCATCCATACTGTGGTAATGTCTGATCGGAGAGAGAGAGAGAAGAGACGACACTGACATGAAAAAAGGACCATGGCTATGCCACCTGTTATTTTATTATTATTATAAAACGGAGAGTTCCGGTGCTTGATTCTGATTGGCTGAGCAGCGTTCAAAGCTGTTGTAAATTACTCTACAAACATACACCTTTGTTTACTTCTGTGTGTTGCTCGGCAACCACTTTGTTACAACCACAACTGTTTCTGAGGAACTACATTGTTTGGTGGAAGAATACTGTTTTTATCATACACTTTATTTGCTCTGTTTTATTCTGTGAAACCTTACTATGTATATGGAATAACCATTTTATAAAAGCAATAAGCCCCGTGAAGCCGTGGTTTACAGTGAATTTATAACAGCTAAGGGGGTTTTAGGCACTCAGCTTCACGTCATGCCTAACAACACCCCTTAGCTGTTATAAATTCACTGTAAACCACAGCTTCTTGGGGCTTATTGCTTTATTAAAACTGCAGTCCGTAGGTTTTGCCTCTTTGTCGCCATCTCAGTTTGAAACCTGCAATTGCAGTTATTTGCGGAATTATCTTCCTTGTGTGGGTTGTGCACCGGCATGAATCTAATGTTTTGAGGTGAATGTGTGGATACTGTACTTAGGAATCACAGATTCTAGCCTACGTCTTGGAAGTATGACCCAAATAAGAATTGTCACCGGATATTGTTATCTGAACAAGTAAGTAACAAGTCTGACACTTTTGTTCTGACCAACTCAGGGGGAAAAAAGCATTACAATAAATCGCGCCACCAATGGTGATTAAATCTAATGATCACTTAGCTTATATCACATCTAACTGTGCAAATTATTATTACTGGTGTACTGTGTTCTCAAATTGTTAATGTTAAGCATTGCATGTATGTAATATGTATTAGCGTTAGACTACATGTAGATTTCAATTTCTGTACAGTCTAATCTCTAATTGTTATACCATTCGAATTTCATATAAAGAAATTATTTTAACTCAAAAAGCAAATTATACATCCTTAGAACTGGTTCTCTTTAAAACACAAATATTGTGTAATCCCACGTAGGCTATCTGTAATCAGATGCACATTTAAAACTGGAATATAATCTAATTTCAGTCACGCGTGTTTCATAAACACAAACCTTTTTGGATTACAATCCTCCATCAAAATGATAAATTCCATTATTCCAGCTGCTGTGAGAAAAGGCTATAAACGATCCGCCACCTGCAGCATCCATAGCATTACATTGAAGTACCTACTGTAAAATAATCTATGCATGTTAAAATCTCAATGTAAAAAACTCACTGTATCAATAGTATAGACAAAAGGTTGATAGCCATCAATCAAAAAATAAATAAAGATCAATAAACATTGAAATAAGAATTTAAAGCAATGCTCTGTGTTTCTGGTCAAGTCTTTGAAATGCATGACTATTCCAGCAGGTGCGTCAGGAGTCTGACTCTACGTGTGACGCCACTGTTTCTTACCGTCTGTTTGGTCTTTTGGCAAAAGTGTTTTCTCGGAAAGCTGTGGTAATACCTGAAGGACTGTGGCAGGGAAAACAGGTACTTTCCTCTGACAGAGTTCAGAGTTTCCACAGGGATACTATATTTCCCATAATATGCCAAGCATTTTAAATCTTATTTGATGAGGGGATGACAGACATTTCAGGGGCCGGTTGCCAAATCCCTGAGCAAACTAATGACAAATCACACACACACACACACACACACACACACACACACACACACACAGTAAGGGTAACCTGTCAGAAAAATCCGGGGCTTGTGTCATTAAAACATTTTTGACATTTTAGGCAATAGTCTTAAAGGGGTCCTATTATGCTTTTTCACTTTTTGAATTTTAGTCAGTGTGTAGTGTGTATGTTTGGGGACAAATAAGATCTTCAGACTTACAAATCTCAAAGTCCACTCCAAAGGGAGATATTTAGTTTTTAAAAAATCAC